GTGGCACGATCTCGGCTCACTGCAACCTCCACCTCCTGGGTTCAAGCGATTCTCCTGCTTCAGCCTCCTGAGTAGCTGGGATTACAGGCACCCGCCACCACAACCAGCTAATTTTTGTACTTTTAGTAGAGACAGGGTTTCACCATGTTGGCCAGTCTGGTCTCAAACTCCTGACCTCAGGTGATCTACGGATTACAGGTGTGAGCCACTGTGCCTGGCCAAGAATTGTTTAATACCAACATAAATTTTTAATTTCTTAGGTATTAATATTCCCCCACCCATTTCTTGAAATAAAAAGGGGGGAAAAGAGAATAAATAAATTGACTATTTTTCCTGAGCCCTAGCTGTGTGCCAGTAATCTTCTAGGTACTTAAAGATGTATATTATAGGAAAAATATAGGAAAAATTATGTTAACTTATTTTAAAGACTAAAAAAGTGACAGCACAGCTGTTAACTCACTTAACGAAAGTTACATATACAGATAAATCAATACATGCTGATATGGCTGGTTTGTGCACTTCTCTTTTCTCAAAAACCATTCAGTTAATGCTTTTTGATAATCTATCTGTGGCGTGCAGGTGCCTAGCACAGAGATACAGAAAGGTTTTAGTCTGTCAATAAAGGAGATTGACAAATGACTCACCAGTTGTAACATGGCCTAATTTTTTCTGTGCAAAAGTATGTTCATCATTCTGAAAGTCTCAGAAAGGATAACCAACTTGGCTTAAGTGGCACCCCTGCTGAGAAGCCTATTTTCAACTTCAGTCATCTGCAGCTGAGCCATAGCAATAAGAGTTATGAAGGCAGAAGAAGGATGAGAGGAGATCCCAGGCAGACACCAGGATGTGCACAGAAAGACTCCCTTTCCCTTCCATAAAATTCAGTTCAAGAAGGGAGTTCATTTTCCTGGTTCAACATAAAGGCAATATAAAGGTATACAAGATACATCTACCTATTACCTTTTTTTATAATTAAAATATCCTAGACAAATTTTTTATTGTATATTTATAGAGAGGTTCTGAGTCCCAGAAATGAATAACATCCTATATTGGACATTAGTAAATACTGACTGGTACAAAAATGTTGTATTATATTTACTGAGAAAACTTGCTTCTCTGTACTTTGGTAAGCGTAGAGAGTTCAGTGATAAAAGACAGAACATTTGCCTTTGGGAGTCCAGTGTAGTAAGAGAGTCATTTATGCAGACATGTAGCAAATCATTATGAACTATGACAGTGATATGTGCTGGATAACCTAGAGGCATAAAGCAAAGGTGCCCAATCTCTTATGCTTAGTACTAAAAGTCAGATTTGCCAACGTCTTTGGATAGAGATGCTTGAGTATCAGTCCAAGATCTCATTCTGCAAGTAAGACCATGAGGAGTTCATTTTGTATTAAATTCTATGTTGATGCTGTTTTTCTTTGATGATTATAATGATGATGATGGTGATGTTTAATGATGAGGATGATGATGACACCCATAGTTGGTCTCAAAACACACAGAATACCTCCTAACTCCATAGCTCCAGCTAAAATTTAGGAGCATATGTAGGCTAGAGTAATATCATTTCGGTCAGCTGCAGTGATATGCTTTTCCAAGGTATCTGGTCAGTGACAGGACTGTTAAAATCAGCACTTACACAGACATTTAGCATTGATTGGCCTCAGCAATTAAGAACTCACTAGGGCCATAAAGTAAAAGCAGCAATAATTCTTTATCATCTGTGACTACTAGAGAGACTCTTGGACCACAGGTCTAGGAATGAGGACATCATCAGATTAAAATGATTGGAAACACTGTGGTTTGACTTTCATATGTAAAGTTTTGTTTTGTAGTTTGTAATCGTTTTACTTTAGATGAGAAAACACTTAGGCAGAATAAGGAGGTTTGTTAGCCACAGTAGATTTGGGGAGAACAAAGAACTCTGTTTTGCTCTTGCCTCTTTTTTCTTTTCTTTTCTTTTTTTTTTTTTTTTTTTTTTTTTTTTTTTTGAGATAGAGTCTCACTTTGTTGCCCAGGCTAGAGTGCAGTAGTGTGATCTTGGCTCACTGCAACCTCTGCCTCCCAGGTTCAAGGGATTTTCCTGCCTCAGCCTCCCGAGTAGCTGGAACTACAGGCACCCACCACCACACCCAGCTAATTTCTGTGTTTTTAGTAGAGACGGGATTTCACCGTGTTGGCCAGGATGGTCTCAATCACTGGACTCATTATCCGCCTGCCTTAGCCTCACAAAGTGCTGGGATTACAGACATGAACCACCGCACCTGACCTTGCCTCTTTTTTTGTTTGTTGATAAGGCAGTAGGGGATGTCACTGGAAACAACAGCTTTGCCATTAAAGATAATACAAGATTTTTTAAAAACCTGCTACTATTTATTTGAGGCCATAAGCACGTGGAAAGCTACACTGAATCCAGGGTAATTATTTTGCCTCCCGTTGACACTAGCCATAAGCCGAGCAGATAGGTTTGCATGCTAGTTTTAACCCTGTGTTTCTGGGGTGCTGGGTTTCTCCTGGGAATAAATGGTGGTAGTCATTTCAAGGATGAAACTTAAAACAAGGTGGACAGTTGAACAACATGTAATGGCCCATTTTGAAATAAAACAGTTAACTGCTGAGCTTTCTGGATTTAGGCTTGTCAAGCAACTCATTTTCTTTTTTAATGCTCGTGACTGGTCTTGTCAGAAGAGGTCACCTGTGGATCCAGTTAATGCTTCAGTGTGGGGAGAGTCACCACCCAAAGCCTAGTAGTCGCTGCAGTACTTAACTGAAATGCTGATGAAAGGGTCACTTTCTGCCTGGATTCAAGCAGATTCCATTGATTAAAATGTCCAAATGCACGTCCCACGTCTATATGAGGGAAATTATGAAACCCTTTTTAGGAAATATCTGCTTCCTAGTGGAAGAAGAAAGTAGGATTTAATGTTTCAAGCATAGGCTCTGAATTTCAGGCCATGTATCAATCAGAGAAAACTTATTGACAGCAATAACAGGGCCTTAAGGAGACTTCTTTTCTCCAGATGAAGAGTGATTAAGCCAGGTAGCCCTTAGATTCTTTGAGCTGGGAAAATGAGTTTAAATGAATAGAGTTCTGGGAATGCCCCTAGGACAATGATTAATGTACTTACTTCAGAAAACCCACAGACCTTTATAGCTCCTTTGCTTTCTTTCTCTTTATCTCCTTCCTCTTGTCCTCCCTGCCTTTCCTCCTAACTTCTTTCCGTTTCTTTAGTCTTTCCTTCATTCCTTCCTTCTTTCGTTTCACATTTGACTGTCTGTTATAGACCAGGAACTATACTATGAATAGAAAGCGTGTAAAGAGAAGACCTTCCAGTAGCTTCATTGAGTATCTCTGTGTGTGTTCTTTTGTATTTGGGTGTTTGTGTGTCTCTCTCGGGGGAAGGGGATGCCTTCACATTGGAAAAACACAAAAATCATTCTTTATAACAAACTCCGATAAGGATCTTACAGGATTTATAACAAACACTTGCTGATAGGAGGAAAAGGCTTTCCCTGTTGTAAATGAGACATATTTAACAGAGGAAGTGAATTTTCAGTTGTGTCTTAAACTACGATTCAGGGGTTAGGTGAAGCTGGAGAAGAGCATCTTAAGCTGAAGGCAGAAGCTTACAGAGGCTCACAGAGGTGGGGGAGGAATTGAATGTGGCACTTTCAGGCAATGGCAACATCTTTCAGTGTGGCAGGAGATAAGGCAGCAAAAGTGAGATGCACCCAGTCTGTGTAGGGTCATGGATACCACACTAAGCTCTGGAGGGATAAGTACTTTTGTTTTGTTTTGTTTTGGAGATGGAGTCTCACTCGGTCGCCCAGACTGGAGTGCAGTGGCGCCATCTCGGCTCACTGCAAGCTCCACCTCCCGGGTTCACGCCATTCTCCTGCCTCAGCCTCCAGGGTAGCTGGGACTACAGGCGCCCGCCACTATGCCTGGCTAATTGTTTATATTTTTAGTAGAGATGGGATTTCCCCGTGTTAGCCAGGATGGTCTCGATCACCTGACCTCGTGATCCACCCGCCTCGGCCTCCCAAAGTGCTGGGATCATAGGCGTGAGCCACCACGCTTGGCCTGGCCCTGGATAAGTAGTTTTAACATTTGCATTTTCTAGCCTTGATTGAGTGGCTGGGCTGAGTGGCTGGGGACCAGTTTGGAGGCATTTTGCTGTTTTCTGTGTCGAAATGGAATGAATTAAAGTTCTGCAAAGCCTGATTTTTTTTAAAAAAGTGCAGATGTTCCCAAGTCTAATTAATCTCATTGTATAAAAATCATAGAGATAAAGCGTGATTGCCCATATTATTTATGTTACAGAATAATAATTATTTTCTATTTAATATAGCTTACTGCAAGATTACACAAAATAATATGTGTCTCCAAGGCGTTTTAAATAAGCTTTTATTTTGCTTACACGTACAGTTTCAGGCACGTTTCAGAAAGTGAGGTGCATCTATTTCTCTTCACACGGGTTCGGCAATACAGAGAATCATCACTCTGCTGTAACTGCTGCTGCATGGGTTGCGTCACAGGGTTTGTTCACAGGGCAGTAGTAGGTGGTTTGGCAAATTTCAGTGAAAAAATTAATTAGATCAATGTGCTATGGAAATCACTGTTCAAGTCACCCGGCTGAAGCAGCATGCCTGGCATCTGCCTCATAAGGTTTGAAAGTTTAATGCACTGTCACTGGGGTTATTGCTAGAGTACGCACGCAGCATGTGTAGGACCTGTATGCAAGTCCCAGCCAATAACACACAACATCTTTGCTAAAATGCAGCCTGCCTTTCATCAAGTGAAGTTTTCATTATCATTTTTATTTTAAGTGGAAATTTTACTGTCAGGCTGTATAAATAAATTGAGTAGATATATTCTAAAGATTGTGGGTTTAGATGCCCGTGGATATTAGTAGTCTGGGGCTCTGCCGAGTTCCTCTAAGGCACATGTGAAGTCATTAATATGGATGTTTCTTTTCATGTTTCCCCATTTTTTAGGTCTGTGATGGGGTCAAATAAAGAACCAGACCTTGTGCATCTTGAGGCCAGAACTGTGGATGGTCGTAAGTAAATCAACTTTGCCACAGTATTCTTAGTAATATTAGTTCTATGACTCTGTCATGAACTGAGTCTGTGTGATAATCTCATGGTGTATGCAGAGTAATAATGGATGTGTGGTTTCTGGGGATTTGGGGTTGCAGGGGTGACCTGCTTCTTTTGACTCTAAGCTAGTAAAGTACGGGTATCTTTTGTTCAGAAGAGCTAAGGATAGGTAGGTAGGTACAATGGCACAGTGGCAATAATTGTGTGATTTGGGCATGAAGACATTTCCTGTCTTCAGTAATGCAAAGTAGTCTTAATAGTTTCTCATAAATCTATATTTTCGTATATATTTATAAATATATACGTTATCCAGAAATATGTATATTTGGATAGTGGTGACACCAGCACAGTCCTCTCATCCAATCAAAGTATCTTTCCAGGTAAAGAGAATACCTCCAAACTCTTGATTCCTGAAGTGTTTTGTTGTTGTTGCTGCTGCTACTGTTTTGTGTTGAATTGTTTCTTCAGTCTCCTTATTTTGTCAGATACCATCCAGGCCATCCCTCACTGTCTTGTTCGGAGATTCACAAAACACTTGGAAAGAATTTTAAAAAAAAAGAGAGAGAGAGAATTTTTCTGTGTGTCCCCATCAGAGGCAGCAGGAGGAGAGTCAGTTGAGTGAATTGCTCACCCGTCAGTAGTTCTCATCAACTCCGGGTGGTTATGCTGCAGTGAAGGACAGGACTATACCTCTTGGCCTCATGACAATGTTGTAGATTGTTTTTCTCATTTCCCATATGAAGAAACAAAGGCATAGAAAGCTTAAGTAATAATATACATAAGCTGCTATGGTAAATAAGTAGAGGACAGTGATGTCTGTCTCACAAAGCCCATCCAGGTGAGAATTCGAGAAACCCATGCACATAAAATACTTCACACAGTGCCTGACCTACTAACACCAGCGATGAATGTTTCCTTCCCCTTCTCTGGCACGGAGGATCCTCAGAAGGGCTAAGCATTTGAGAGGGTACTGCTAGACCTAGGATAGAGCACTCCCGGTGAGAGGGGTAAAAGAAAATGAGAAAAGGGGAAAACTATAGATAGAAGAGGGTGAGAGAAGAAAAGATAGGGAGAAAGAAAGAGGTCTCAGATGTAGAGGAGAGGAGAATGGACTATCCACAATTACCACAGAGCAATGAGGCTGGTGTAGGCTGCCCAGCGCTGGCCCAAAGAGGGATCATCTCATTTCCAAGACATTCCCAGTTTCTAAAATATCCCTCACAATTCAAAAGCACCCTAATCACTGCCATTTGTGCCTGTCTACCAGTCCTTAGCTCTTCTGAACACAAAGACAGAAGACCCTGCACTTTACCAGCTTATAGCCAAACAAAGCAGGTCACCCCTACAACCCAAACTCCCCAGAAACCACACATTTTTTTTCTATTACTATACATGTACCATGAGATTTCTCATCTCTAACAGTTTTGTTTACCTTTTTGGGGGGAGTGAATATATTTTTTGACAGAGTCAGTAGGGGTACAGGTCAGGGGTCAAGGCTGACCATCCTCCTCTGTAACCCAGGCAAAGCTGCCGTGTGTGACATGCCCAGCACTGTGCCTGACACAGAATGAGCTCAACAGGTCAGAGCAGCTTTCCCACCTCCTCAGTGGGCTCACTCTGGTGGTGACCTCTCCGTTTCCCTGGAGCAGGTGATGTTATCTTGGACTCCAAGGTTCAGTTCTTGCTACATAACAGAGATCAATATTTTCTTAATGCAAAAGTAAACACATCATTGTTTAAAAGTCTTGCTTACTAGAGATAGAGACCATCCTGGCCAACACGATGAGACCCCATCTCTACTTAAAATACAAAAATTAGCTGGCTGTGGTGGTACATGCCTGTTGTCCCAGCTACTTGGGAGGCGTAGGCAGGAGACTCACGCGAACGCGGGGGGCGGAGGTTGCAGTGTGCAGTGAGCTGAGATTGCGCCACTGCACTCCAGCTTGGCGACAGAGCAAGACTCCATCTCAAAAAAAAAAAAAAAAAAAAAAAGGTCTTGCTGACTTCCCATTTCTTTGATCATACAGAGCTAAATTCTCATCTTGACCTATAGCTCCAACATAACCTGTGCCTGGCCATTCCCTTAGCGTAATTTTACTCTGCCCTTTCCTCGCTCCTTGTCTGCAGGCCTTTAGGCGTGTTTTCAATTCTTGGAACATACAGGGGTATGTGTCTTGCCATAAAGCCTTGATACTTGCTGTTTTCTCTATCTGGAATATCCTGCTCTCTTGCCCGTACCCTGACCAATCAAGCATAATTGATTACTGTGGATGGTTCAGACCTCAGGTTTCTCGCCTATTTCTTAGAAAAGCCTTTCGTAAACTCTGAATCTAAATGAGTTTTTTATTTTGATTGCTTTTATACAACTATGTTTTGTTTTTTTTTATCACGTTCTTCTCTGTTTGAAATTATACTTTCTATTTACATAATTATTCGATCACAACCGTTTCTCCCCACCAGTCTGTAAGTTTTATGAGAGCAGGGACCATGTATGTTATATTCAATATTGTATCTCCAGAGCCAAGAATGGTAGCACACATCTGTAGTCCCAGTTACTGAGGAGGCTGAGGCAGGAGGATCATTTGAGCCCAGGAGTTCAAGACTGTAGTGCACTATGAACACACCTGTGAATAGCAACTTCACTCCAGCCTGGGCAACACAGTGAGATCCCATCTCAAAACAAACACATTATGTCTCCAGCACATGCCACAGCATCTGCACGTAGAGAGATCTCACTAAGCATATGTTGAGTGACCGCACACCTGACTGACCAGTTGGCGGGGCTACCAGTTGGCTATCTCATCTCACTTACCAAGTTGTCTGAAAATGTCAGAGCCTCGCATCTTAAACCTTAGCATGTATGCTACCCACCTAGGGACCTTGTTAAGATCTGCATTGTGATTCAGTAGGGGCCTGAGAGTCTGCATTTCTCACAAGCTCCTGGATGATATTCATGCTGCGGGTCTGTGAAACATGCTTGAGTAGCAAAGTTCCACAACCTTTCACTAATTTTAAGAAAATTAGTGAAAGAGCTTGAGGGTCTGTCTCCCATGATCGCACCCCTAGTTTAGGAAACTCTGGATGGAATTGGTAGCATCCCGGATTGCTTTCATTTTCAAGCTTTTGGGCATATGCTGCTGCTTTCTGGCTTGTGGCATCCAATGCGCATGACACTGTATCCTAAAAACAATGAGGCTATCACTCTCTGTGATCTGCACATTTTCTTACACCCAGCATTATTCCTGTGCTCCCTGAAGGCATGGCGGTTGATAATGCCAAATTGTCATCTCAGGCTTAGCTTTCACAAGGCATGAAATATATCAGTTCTAATTTTATTTATTTTACTTTACTTTTTTTTTTGCAAAGGCAGCATCTTCAGAAACTATCCAAGGGTGAAAATTCAATAAAAGGATTTAATTTGAAAAGTTAGCCCTGTCAAAACAAAACAGGAAAAAAAAAAAAAAAAAAAAAACCTACCAATTGATTTAAAGGGTCTAAGCATAACACCTGACCTGTCACGGTGTTAAAAAAAAAAAAAAAAGAGAGAGAAAAAGAGAACGAGATTTTCTCAATAACCAAGGCTCCAGTTAAAACAACAACAACAACAACAAACAGAGAGGAGGAGGTTGGAAGTAAATAGCACAGAGAGGTCAGGGTAGCCAGGTGTTAGCAAATGTGGCAGCCACAGTTTGACAGTGTGTTTATCAAAATCAGGTTACAGTCTCATCAGCTGCGCTAAGAATTCCATATCTCTGTTATCTCTTTCTCATTTCCTTTTTTTTTTTTTTTTTCCTGAGACAGAGTCTCACTCTGTCACCCAGTCTGGAGTACAGTGGTGCCATCTCGGCTCACTGCAACCTCTGCCCCCCAGGTTCAAGTCATCCTCCTGCCTCAGCCTCCTGCGAAGCTGGGACTGCAGGCATGCGCCACCATGCCAGGCTAATTTTTGTATTTTTGGTAGAGATGGGGTTTTGCCATGTTGGCTAAGCTGGTCTCGAACTCCTGACCTCAAGCTATCCGCTTGCCTCTCCCTCCTGAAGTGCTGGGATTACAAGCGTGAGCCACCATGGCCGGCCTCTTTCTCATTTCCTGATTGAAATCCTCGTTTTTTCTCCATCCATTTATTATTATTATTATTATCATTATCATTATTATTATTATTAGTTTCTTTGTGTGTGTGTGATGGAGTTCTGCTCTTGTTGTCCAGGCTGGAGTGTAATGGCGTGGTCTCAGCTCACTGCAACCTCCTCCTCCCGGGTTCAAGTGATTCTCCTGCCTTAGCCTCCTGAGTAGCTGGGATTATAGATGCCCGCCACCATCCAGCTGATTTTTTGCATTTTTAGCAGAGACGGTGTTTTACTATGTTGGCTGGGCTGGTCTGGAACTCCTGACCTCAAGTGACCCACCCGCCTTGGCCTTTCAAAGTGCTGTGATTATAGGCATGAGCCACTGTGCTAGACCCCATTCGTTGTTTACATATATGGAACCCATTGTTTTTATTCTAGGTTGTACATCTTGTAGAGTATATGCCAAATATACTCTACAATAATGTAATGGTTTTTTTGTTTTGTTTTTTTGAGATGAAGGCTCATCTGTTGCCCAGCCTGGAGTGCAGTGGTGCAATCTCAGCTCACTGCAACCTCTGCCTCCTGGATTCAAGTGATTCTCCTGCCGCAGCCTCTGCAGTAGCTAGGATTACAAGCACCTACCATCATGCCCGGCTGATTTTTGTATTTTTGGTAGAGATGGGTTTTCGCCATGTTGGTCAGACTGATCTCAAACACCTGACCTCAAGTGAGCCACCCACGTTGGCCTCCTAAAGTGCTGAGATTACAGGCATGAGCCACCACACCTGGCCATCATGTTTTTGACTTTGAACAAGAAGTTATTTTCTGACCTTAGTGTGTTCACATATTTTGTAGTCAAGATATTGAGACATTTGACACAGGAAAAATCCCTC